ATAAAATGTAATATAATAGTACAATTTTTAATTCATTCATTCATTTATCACAGCGTATCGAAAGTGCGTCGCTGTTCATAAGCTCTCCCATAGTTTGCCTTGTAGGGCCTGTATTTGCAATAGTTGCCATGCATTGCAAGAGGGTTGACAACCGCAGCTTTCTTTTTTAATAGGGACCGTGCCTCTAGACTTTTACGCCAACTGGTGGCAATCATCGTAACTAATTGGGATCGTTTCACAAAGGACATTATAGATCGTTTATTTTATTTTAACACATGATTAATGCGTAATTACATATTAATAAAATATATTGATATAACTTTAATAATGTCAACTTCATGTTAAAATTGCTGTATTCGTTACTATAATAATACATGACGTCAAAATCGTGCAGTTGATGTGAAAACGCAATTTTATAAATTCCAGGAAAGCATCAATATGCTTGCTCCAATGAGCTGCATGGAAAATAACAAAACGTAAACATTGGATAAAGCCGTAAAAAAATTGTGCGTAAGTCCTATATTACTTAAAAATTTATTATAAAATTAAAATAAATTTTCAGATTAAACTCGAGACATATAAAAAATTATTATATTGATTACTAAGTTCCTATTATTATAATATTTATTTTATAATCTTATAAAATAAATATTATTATAATAGGAACTAAGTAATCAAAAATTATAATATAAATATAAAAATTATAATAAAAACTTACCCTTTAATTTTTTGGTTTCAGAGGAAATCCAAAAGACTGGGCACCAAATAAAAATATAAAATTTGTAGTACTCATTTCATCAATAACATAAAATCGGAATATCCGTTACATCCGTCTTATGTTCCCTCGATGTTTCCTGGAAGCGAAAATATAAAAAAAATATACAATCCTTGGAGCGTTTTCAGCGAGTCAAAAATCGTGACTTATTAAAAGTTCCCGGTATTAATAAATCTCTTGTCAGTAAGGAAACTAATAATTTAATAACCACCACCTATAGGTATAATGAATGCAGTAATCGAACAATATTATAATTTTTTATTCCTTTTTGATCATTCTGACCACGTATAATATTGTTGATAACTGGTTGAAATCCGTATTTTATTATTTTTTTCCATTTTTTAAAATATTTTATGTTGTTTGTAATGAATGTTTTGGTCCCACTATCTTCGGCAAAAGAACACTAGGGAGCGCTTACTTCGGCAATAGTGCTGCCTCTGTTTCGCGCACGGTCCCCACTGAAAACTTCTTTACCATCGCTGTCATTTGAAAATGAATGAAAAGAAAAATAGACAAATGTATACATGTATAGGATTTAGCCTGCAAGAGAGTAAGATAGAACAGTGTAGTAAGCAGCAGTTATGGCATGGTGCAAAGTTTGTGGGTTCAAATCCGCCTTTCGACTGTTGTCGTTAACAACTCTTAGCACAAGCATTAAAAGTGGTTAAAAGAAATGTCAAAATGGAAAAGCGTTGCTAGTATTTAAAAAAATTGTGTTTCCTATTATTTCGGTCTCCTCTTTGTGTGGTGCTATAAAGATGGTTACTATAAATTTTTACTGTTACAATAAAGAGTTGTAACATAAACAAATATACCTTTTGAACAAATAAAATTAACCATATGGAATAAAATTATCATATCCAATTTATGCATTACATCTTTTTTCTATTATTTTGAACTAATAACAAGAAGATGGTGCTGCCCATCTCCTGGTTAAATTCCCTGTTGCCACTTACATCAAACATGGGATGATAAAGGGTGTTGTGTTTTTGTATGTGTGTGGTTTCTGTTACACTGCTGCCACTACACCGTTATTACAAGCTTTAAAATTATTTAACTACATTATACTTTCGTATCACATAAAAGGAACACCTACAATAAACATAAACATTTTGTAGGACAAATACATACCTACTTTAATACTTGAAATATTAATAAAATGTCTTCGTTATTTTAGGAGAGAGTCTTTACCTAATTTATTAAAAATCTCGTCTACTTTTTTTTGAGAAAGTGGAATACCCTCTTCGTAATGCACCTCGTATTTATTTACAAAGCCTATACACAAAAGTATGCGATGGTCGACTTGATACGTCGATATTACTTTATTGTCCTTTGTCTGGATGACCGTCCACGAACATCACGATACGAGTATGTCATATATCGTGACTGCCAAAACCTTTACTTGTTACAGCATAAAATTACTTCAGAATTATATCAAGAAAGCCACTTATTTAAGAACTTTTTTAAAAATATTTATAGTAAATTTTGCTGCCAAAGGGGACGTATAATATATAATGTCAGATTTTACTCTAAAATGGTATCCTAGTAAACAGAACTGTGTTAATTGATGGGCGAGATTCTGATGAATGACTGGTGACGGAAAAGCAGGATTACCAGTGCGAGCTCTTCGCTCACCAACCCGGCTGCCTAGTGGGATGAGCAGGCAAGTCTTGCAGATAATGCTTGCCAACTGATGCATTCTTTGTGAGGTCGTCCAGTAGCAATAGATTCTAAAAGGATTGTGCGATGTGCTGTGTTGCAAAAAGTTATACCAATAATCAAATTATTAAATATTATAAGTGCAATAACGAAATTGATAACTTGCACGGTGAAATGAAACAGTTAAAAGATGATCTAAAAAAATGCTACGACGTAATAAACATGTATAAAAAGATAGCATGCACCGAAATTAGACCTACTTCTGTAAGGAAATTGAAGACTAGAAATATATATAAAAAGAAGATCTAGGAAATAAAACAAAAAATAGCGAAACGCCTTTACCATGTTACAGCGATAAAAGTTTAGAACGAAAAGGTAGTATTAACACAATTCGAAATGAAAATACGGTAAATACATCCCCAGACACTAGGTCCAATCCGGACGAACCGAGAAAGATATGAAATGTTGTTATACTTGCAGATTAACAAGGACGGTATGTTTGTCAAATCTTGCAAAGACTTTTAGGTACTTCATTTAAAGTTACCTGTTACTTTAAGCCCGGAGCTAAAATTAACAACGTTCTTCAACTCAATACGTCTTTATCCGAACTGACTATAAATGACACTGACATTGTGGTAATAATTGGTGGTATAAACGATACTGACCCCTATCAGTTTGAAGTTGCTTTTGAGAACTGTTTACAAACATTAACAAAACCAAAGATTATAGTGGTGGAAATATCCTATAAAAGTAGTTTGAATGAAAATAAATTAAACTACTTAGTCAGATATACTTGCAAAAGACACCCGAACGTGTGATTTATTGATATGGGTTACAGTAGGCAATTACCCTATAGAAATCATTTTACCTTAAATCTTTGTAAAACATTGTTAAAAGAAGTATTACATTTAGATTATAAACTGAAATTTGAATTATATAATAAGGATGTTGCTCACAAATCCTTACCAATTGATACACAAAATAAAGACACCCAAACTGATGTAATCTATTGTAATAGTCAATTAAAAAAGTACGTAATAAATAATTGTACTCAGACTGACTTGGTAATTAATGCAAATAAGTTAGGTAATGATGATAATAATGCTGTAGATAATAATGCAAACAATAAATCTAATTTTAACTTTCAAAATAGCTCTAATCTTTTCCTCGTATAATTATTTATTGATTTTGCACCAAAATGTAAATGGTTTAATAAATAAATCGAACTTGTTAGCCTACAATTTAAATGAGCTATCACAAAATGGTAAAAATATAGATGTAATCTGCATTACAGAGCATAACATGAAAAATGGTGATGATAACATTGAACATAGCTAATTTTCAACTAGCAACATACGCCAACAGAAATAACAGAAGAGGGGGGTCATGTGTTTTTATAAATAACAAACAGAAATACAAAATGGTCGAATTACATCAATATTCCTGCCCTAACATTGTGGAGTGTTGTGGTGTGGAATGAACAGATCACGGTTTAATTATTGTCTGTTTATATATTTTTATTTATATATATATATATATATATATATATATATATATATATATATATATATATATATTTTTATAGAAAGCATAGACGCCGTAACTACGTTTTTCTGTAACTTCGAAGGTGTGTTTTTGTAGTACTAATAAAAAAAACCTATAATATGTGGGGATTTTAACATAGATATTTTACAAAGTTCACGGCTTTCTACAGAATTAGAAAATAAATTGTTAAATTTTAACTTACGACCAAGTATTTGCGAGCCTACACGTTTACAAAGTGGCAAGTGTATTGATAATATAATTCATAATATAAGAGGCAGTAAAGATGAAGTGATAGATCTGGGAATATCAGATCATACATTATCTCTCATTGGTTCATGTTAAAACGGGATTACAGCATAGAAAACTTAAATAAATTTAAAAATGCCATCAGAAGTCTCAGTTTTATTAGTGTTTATGAATGTCTTGATCCTAATGAAGCGTTTAATGAATTCAATTAATTATTTAAACTATTTTACGATCTTTGCTTTCCAACACTTAAAATTAAAATTCTTATAAATAGAAAACTTACTTGGGTCACTAATGGTATTAAATTGTGTTGTAAACGTAAACGAGAAATGCTATGGCATTCTCGACTACACCCTACTAAGGAAAATAATAGAAAGCTTAAAGTTTATAAACGATTAATAAAAATCATTAATTTTACGTAAAAATCGCGTAATAGTTATTATATCAACAATGTGGAGAATAAAACAAAAGCCACATGGAAAGTGATAAATAAAAATAAATACAACTTACCTAAAGATAATATTACAAAAATTAATTTTAATAATAATAATAATAAAGAGGCGTAGGGAAGTGACGACCCCATCGCCCGCTGATATAACGGTTATGTGACAAAACCGCTACGTCGGCGCAGTCAGTCAGCACCTTGCCAAGAGGTGTTAGTGCCGTGCCTCGGCAAAAATTGAAGGTGCCAAGGCCCGCTTGTGCACATGGCCTAACCATGAAACGGCGCCGGGTCTGGGCGTCTCCCGTTAAATGGCACCCATAAAAATGGATGATGGAATCTAATAGAACGCGCAAAGGGCCGCTGCCTGGAGGTCGCCAGGGCGCGTCTGGAGCTGGCGCTGGACGCGACAGCATGCGAACCGCCAGCCGAGCGCGAGGTGCTGCACGACCACCCAGCAGCTCCTCGCATCCATCATCCCCACCAGCTGGCTTGGTGTCGGCTGGGTCTTCGCGGGCTCAGCAATCGGCACCCGCCACTGGTGGAGTACGCCGCATGCGTTGGACAACCCAGATGAACAGCAACGCATTGCGGGCGTATTTTAGGGCGAAAGCGGGAGAAACTGGAGGTTTTGCGTATCGGGCAAGGATGCATCGACTTTTTGCTGAGCTGGAGCCATCTGTAACCGTCACCGAGCAAAACCTGGCAGACCGAGTTCGGTATATCTTGCGCTCAAATACATTTGATGTCACCGAACTCGAACGGCTACGACGTGAGGCTGTTCCTTCATCGGGTGAAAATGCTGCGGCTGAGGATGCGGCGCCACAACTTGCCGAGCAAACGGCAAATGTGGATGCCGCCGTGAATACGCCAGTTGTGGTTGATTCAAACGACGATGGAACAGTCGCCCAGGAACTGGAACTAGAGCAAATGAGGAGTACATTGGAAGAGGCGATTGTGGAAGCGCGCAGTACGACTCTCGAAAATCGACCGCGACTTCCCCGCTTAGCCCTAAGCAAGCGGAATCGGGCTGTCGTGAGGGCTCTGAACCCAATGCTGGTTACCTATTTGGAAGCCAGCCGGGACCTTTGCGAGACGGACTCAATTATTTTTGGCGCCGCACTGGCAGTCTGCCGTATTATAGGTGCCAAACTTTCCACGGCTGGACGCGCTACTGGACAAAGTAGTGCTATCCCAGCCTGGAGAATAAGAATTGAAGAACGTATCGCAAAGGCTAGGGCCCTCATCGGCAGACTGATATGCTTCAGGTCAGGCAATACCAGGCCAAGGATTGTGCGCACCGTCAGGATGGCGTTTGCTGGGACAAATGTTAGTTTGTCCCAGCCGGATATAATGCAAAAACTGACGGAGCGCATAGACGACCTGAAGCAAAGAATAGCTGCTTGGGGAAAGCGGATTCGGCGATATACCGAGAGGTCGACACGGTTCAACCAGAATCGTCTCTTCCAGAGTGATCAGAAGAGGCTCTATAAATCATTGGAGCGACCAATAGTAAGTGGAACGGGCCCTGCACCAAATTAGGCCGACATGGTCGCATTCTGGTGCAGCCTGTGGTCAGAGCCCGTAAACCACAACGAGGGCCCTTGGACGGAAGTTGTGGCGAGTCAGTGTGCGAGTATTACGCCCATGGACCCCGTCATCATAACGCCGGATGACGTAGCTGAGGCGGTCCGTAGGGCCCCGAACTGGAAAAGTCCGGGGCTTGACGGGCTGCATCACTACTGGCTGAAGGGGTTCATGGTGTGTCACTCTGTGCTCGCCCGACAGTTTCAAGAGGCTCTCAACCAGAAGTCGCTCCCAAGCCTCTTCACTACTGGGATCACTCATTTGGTTCCTAAAGATCAGGGTGCCACAGACCCGAGCAAATACCGCCCCATCACGTGTCTACCAACCACATACAAGACACTAACATCCATTTTGAGCGCAAGAATCGCTCGTCACCTGGACCTAAATCAGGTGATGTCGCGCGCTCAAAATGGATGTCTGGGCGGCGGTCGTGGAACCAAGGAACCACTCCTTATTGACGCGGTCATTGGCAAAGTGGTGAAACGCAACCGTCGGAACTTCTCCGCCGCCTGGATAGATTACAGAAAGGCATTTGACTCGGTGCCCCATACATGGCTAAAGAGGGTCCTCGAGCTGTACAAGATTGACTGTACAGTTCGAGACTTCCTCGAGCAGTATATGGGGCAGTGGAGTACGATCCTCTGTCATCTAGGCGAGCGGATGACGGCTGCGGAAAGCCGCATAAGGATAAGAAGGGGTATATTCCAGGGCGACTGTCTGAGTCCAATCTGGTTCTGCCTCTTTTTGAACCCTCTCAGTACTTTACTGGAGGGCTCCGGGAGGGGATTTCAGCTTCGGAAAGGAGGTACAAAAGTGACCCACCTTTTCTATATGGATGACCTCAAATTATTCGCCTCCAGTCGCTCCCATCTTATGGAATTGCTAAACATCACGTGTGAATTTAGCAATTCTATTAGAATGGAGCTGGGGACGGATAAGTGTGCGGTCCTCCATGTTGAAAGGGGAAGGGTAGCTAACTCTGAGGGCATAGACTTATCTATGCCCGTCAACTTAAGAACCCTTTCCGAGGCTGAAACATACCGATACCTGGGTATGTCACAGAACATCGGTATCGATGAGGCTGGTATGAAACAGTCAGTTTGCGACGTGTTTTATGCACGCTTGACCAAAGTGCTTAACAGCCTTTTGTCCGGTGTGAATAAGGCACACGCATATAACGGTTGGGTCATGACTGTCCTCATGTATACCTTTGGCATACTCAGGTGGACTCAGACTGAACTTAACGCCCTGGATAGAAAAGTCCGCACTACCATGACGTCCCATAGGATGCATCATCCGAGATCGTCGGTAATGAGGCTGTACTTGCCGCGGAAGCATGGTGGTCGTGGCTTCTTGAGCGCGCTCACCACGCACAATCGCGAAGTGTGCAGCCTCCGTGATTACTTCCTGGCGAGATCGGATGATCCATTCTATAAGGACGTCATTTCTTGTGATAAAGGACTTACCCCTCTATCCTTAGCCAACGAGCAATGGCAAGACCCGGCAGTGCAGAGCATTTCCGACCGGGAAACCGTATGGAAGGAGAAGGAGCTCCACGGGAGGTTCTACAAGGCTCTACATGAGCCTTTCGTAGACACAGTAGCCTCCCTCCACTGGCTACGCTTTGGTGATCTCTTCGGGGAAACCGAGGGTTTTGTCTGTGCAATACAGGATCAGGTTATTAAGACCAACAACTATCGGAGATACATCCTAAAGGATGGCACCGTCGACATCTGTCGAGCTTGTCGCCATCCCGGTGAGTCACTTAGGCATGTTATCTCCGGTTGTTCGGCGCTTTCTAACTCTGAGTACTTGCACAGGCACAACCTAGTAGCCAGAATTCTACACCAGGAGCTCTCTCTGAAATACGGTCTCGTGGATCGGAAATTGCCGTATTACAAGTACTTGCCGGAAGCCGTGCTCGAAAATGATCGCGCCAGGCTCTATTGGGACCGGGCCATCATCACAGACAGGACTATTCTTGCGAATAAGCCTGATATTGTGCTGATGGACCGGGCACAGTCAAGGATATTTTTGGTCGACATTACCATTCCGTATGACGAGAACCTCGTGAAAGCCGAAACAGACAAGCAAACAAAATATCTGGACCTGGCTCACGAGGTGACCGACATGTGGGCTGGTCTGCCGGCCGAAATTATTCCTGTAGTCGTCTCTGCAAACGGGCTAATCCCAGTCAGCCTCTCGGGTCATCTGAGGCGGCTGGGACTACGTGGCGGACCGCTCCAGGTTCAAATGCAGAAGGCGGTGCTCCTCGATACCGCCCGCATCGTCCGCCGGTTTCTTTCCCTTTCCCCCCAACCCTCGGCCGTTTGGTCTCCCCTGCCGAGGGCCTCCATCTTGCTGGGCTTTTACTTATTTATGTACTTTTATATTTATTTTATGTTATTGATATTTATGTATATTTATCTTTCCATTTTCATTTATAATTATATATTTATGGAACCCAACCAGATAAGAAAACTATATAGATACCCCATAATATATATATATATATATATATATATATATATATATATATATATATATATATATATATATATATATATATATATATGATCCCGGAAAAATTACTGAGCAATTTAATAATTATTTTATCAATGAAGTTCAGCCCATAAACCAGTTTAGTAATAGTCACCAAAGTTAAACATCCATAAATAGTAGACTGAACTCAACGTTTATGCCTGCATGTATTCCTCACGATTTATATAAAATAATTAATAAATTAAAAAATATTCACAGCGCTGGTAATGATGATATAATTACAAAAGTAGTTAAGTTAGTGGCCGTTGAAATTTCGCCAGTTCTAAGCTACGTAGTGAATTTATGTATAGAAAGAGGTAGTTTTTAGGTAGTTTAAAAATATCCGTTATAAATCCTTTATATAAAAAGGAGGACAGACATGACCCTAAAAACGACAGGCCTGTCACTTTGCTTCCATCATTCTTCAAAATAATAGAAAAAGTAATATATAACAACTTATATTCTTATTTGGAAGTTAATAACATCTTAGCAAACGAACAATATGGTTTTAGAAAATGTAAAAACATAAATATGGCCATGTATGTATTTGTTGAAAAGTGATCACCGGTATGGATAATCGTACACCAACAACCGCCTTGTTCATGGACATGACCAAGGCGTTTGATTGAGTTGATTTAAAGATCTTAGCGCTTAAACTGTAAAAATATGGAATCAGAGGTAATGTATTAAAACTTATTATTTCATACCTGAATGATAGGAAACAAATTACTAATATAAAAAGATCTGACCTTGTACTAATATTGAAATAACATACCTTTCGCAACAAAAGCAAACAACCTACGGTGTGCCGCAAGGAAGCGTACTCGGTCCATTACTATTCCTAATATATATCAATGATTTGCCCCAGGTGACTCAGCACCCTATGACCTTATTTGCTGATGACAGCATAGTTGTATTCACGGGACGAGACAAGGTCTCAATTGAATCGGACATAACTCAGAATTTATAAAGGATAGTAGACTGGCTGAATGACAATTATCTTAAAATTAATTTGGATAAAACGCATATTATGTCATACAAACAAAAAAAAACAACCAAAACTTAATATTAACTATAAAACTAAAGTCATAAACGAAAAAGGACACACACAATTTCTGGGAATTTGGCTGGACTAAAAAATTACATAGAGTAAACATATTGAACACATAATAAAAAAGATAAATCAATCCCACTATGCAGTACATAACCTTATAAAAAATACAAATCGTAAAACAGTCATAACCGCCTACCATGCATACGTCTCTTCAAAATTGAGATATGGTATAATATTTTGGGGAAATGCTCCAAACGCGACAGTACTAATATTTTGGGGAAATTCTCCAAAACGCGAACTAGTATTTAAAGCGCAAAAGGAATGTTTACGAGCAGTATGTCAGTTGCAGGTTACCGATAGTTGCAAACCGCATTTCATTGATCTTAACATTCTGACCCTACCATCTTTATATATATTTGAAGTAGCTATGTTTGTAAGGAAACATTTTAGCATATTTGAAAACGCTAATAATAAACGACATAGGAATAAACTACGTACAAAACCTCATAAAACAGCCCTTTATTCAAAAAGTTTCCTGGGTATGGCTCTTAAAATTTTTAATAAACTCCCAAAAAACATTAAAGAAACTGATAATATAGACAAATTTAAAAAATTGCTATCGAGTTTTTTAATATATAAATCATAGTACTCTATCAACGAATACTTTGAATATAAAATGAATGGTTTTTAGTACCTACAATAATTAATGGACGATTTATTTATTATATGTTTATATTTATGTAATTGATAATAAAGATAATAATAAATGTTATTCCTAAACATACTAATTATAATTGAAATTGTTATTTTATTAAAAAATAATTTTCATATTGCCAGGTGATAGTGATAAACAAATATTTGTATGCCTTTGTAGGCGAAACATAGTGTTACTTATCATAGCTTTTCCACCAAGTTTGTAACTTTTTACCTATGTTTTACAAATAAATTATTTGATTTAATTTAATTTGATTTGCAATACCGGCGGTATTGATAGCGCATTGGTAAAGCAGTTGGAAGCGGTACTCCGCAACTCAAACTCTTCAAAGAATTGGTAATATGGTAATGGAGCCCTATGTTTGTTCGTTGGACGTTGACCTACTACCAACAAACACCTTTACAGTACAAATGCTAATGCTATACGTTTACTACGTAAAATTGCAAGCAAAAGTACATTCCATCCATATCACATTTCATTATCGCATTTCAGCCTATTAAAGTCTGTAAGTTTTATAATTTTGAGTCGTTATCAGGAAGCCTGCTGCTGCCCATCACCTGTCTCAGTTCCCTCTGTTACCTCTTGCGACACACCTGGGATGATATGGGGCAGTGGGTATTCTTACACCGCTACTACACAGTTAAG